CACTGCGGATGATGCACATTAAAGTCTCCGACTAGAATATGTTGGCCTTCTTGGGATAGGATTTGTGGTAGCCACTTAGATGTCCCTGTACCTAGGCTACTGTGGTGTGGTGGGGGTGGATTGTATACGTTATGTATCCAAATATTGCCGATACAGGTTTCGAAGCTTACAGAGGTAATTTCTCCTTGGGAATCTTCGGGTACTTCTTCTCTTTTCCATTTACTAGCATCTGGATCTTTGCTGACGTAAATGCATGTCCTACCTTTGTGGCCACTTGGAAAGACCAAATGGTAGGCATGGTGGGTGACTGCCGTTTGTTCTGTCGGATGACGCCATGGTTCTTGTAAGCCCACTATGTGGTGGTTCCGTGGGTTTAAAGCTTGAAGGAAGTGTTGCTGTACTTTTTTCTTGCTCATATTGACGTTGTACTGTTTGGATAGGGTTGATGTGCCCTTCATTGCTCCATCTCACTTTGAATATCATCTGCTTGAGCTGTCAGTGTCACAGTCCGGGGCGCACTCTGTTCTTGCATTTGTCTAAGGTTGGCGAAGAGTCCTTGAACGCTAGGAGTCACAAATGGGGGTTTCCTTGATCGGCCGGGACGTCTAAGACCGACCACATTTCGATTGGCTCCTATGATTTGAGGGCCTGCAAATCCATCTCTTCTTTTCCTGCTTCCAACCATTTGCCATTTGTCGTCTTGGTCTCTTGAAGATTTCTTTTCTACAACAAACATTCCTAGGTCTTGGATCCTATTTTGGACAGCCCTATTTTTCGCATTTACTCTGACTGAGCAGCTTTGGTCCCATGTTTTGTGACCTTTGCCACGGTTACTGCATTTGACATCTTTCTTCCCAGTACAGTTCCGGGTGTTGTGTTCTCCTGCACAATGACCGCACTTCGAGTCTGCTGTACAAATTTTCGCGATATGGCCGTACTTTTGGCAGTTGAAACATTGCATCATGCGAAAGCCAGTCCTGAATATCACCGTTGACTTCAGCTCGTACTGCCACGTTAGGCTCCTTGTAATAGCCATGCTGCGCGATCGGCCTGTGCTATCAACAGATTCAGCGATCCTGACATTTTTCCAAACTGCTGATTTTTCTTTAGCCAAGCGGCTCTTTGAATTATCATCCCTTGTATGTAGACATAATTAGCTTTTTGGAGCCGCTTCAAGTGCTCTGGGTTTTCTGGCTCGAAGAAGAGCGGCATATCGAGCATCAGGACTTGATATACGGGGCCTGCGACTTGTGCAGAAGCAGCCAGGTTCATCGTCCATTCCTTGTGGTACTCCATGAGTTCTTTTGTCCCTTCTCCAGCAAAGTAGACCTTTACTTGGCCGTTTGTCATTTGTCTGGCGCCTATGATTTGTTGAATGCCTATCTCCTTAATCAATTCCTCGCTCGAGAGCTTGGCTATCTCCTTTTTCTCCTGCTCGTCTTGGATACGGATCGTAGTTCCGTATGGCTCTCACTTGCTTGCGACTTTTGCCCAGGAACGGCCTGGGGCTTGAATTGATGGGCTAATTTGAGTTATGGAGGCTTTAATGCCTTTTATCTCCTGTAGTTTCTTAGCCATTAGAGTATTATTGTTACTATGGCCAGTCTGAGTGGGTATGGGAGGGGAGACTTTCGCTTTCTGACGACTCTCGATTAACTGTATGGACTCTTCAATTATCCTTCTGTAAGCTCTACTAGAGAGCTCTTCTCCTTGTGTTGCGCTCTTGAGTTTCTTCAAGGTCGCATTGATGTCTTGGGGTGTTTTTGACGCGACGTTTCCATCTCTGTGGCCCGCGCAAGGCTTTCCGCCATTAAATCCTTTCGTAGGATTATTCTTCACCACTGTTACAATTGGTACACACTTTATGGGATTAAAATCAATGGGGTCGACTTTTCGGAATGTGGATGTTTTTTGAGGACTGATATATATGTACATAATCTACACCCATAATACGGTCTATTGTCGCATGACCGGAGTAACATATTCTACACTGCGTTATACTAGTAACACTGAGCTCTTAGCGCTGATCGTAATAGGTCGTGCTGGGACTACTTAATCCCTGTATTGTATGCTAGCACTTGTACTTCAGAAATGGGTGCACTCATACCAACTGTGACAGTTACATCACAATACACAGTTCTCCATTTCTCGAGTGCGCGCCAAAAGGGGGATCTCTGGACGGTTGGGCTTGACATGATTCAACACACGGGTAAAGTCTTAGGTGGTCCGGTCATTCAGGTAGGACGAGGTAGATATACTTAATGGTAGTTAACCTGATCCAGTCCGGCCCCACCCATGCTTAAGCTCCAGGAGGGGTGCAAAGGTAGTCTTTTTAACTAGCACGTTAATGAAAAAAACCAAACCAACCAATTTCTCGAGTGAGGTAGGTATCCAGGCTATCTAAACTTTAGTTTGGGAAGATGACGACCAGGAGGCGGACCAAAACACCTTCCATCGTTGCCTGTTTTTAGAGTGTCGGTTGCACTATCCGAAGTCATAGCCTCTACACACACAGACACCCTTAAGTGGAAACCACTCGAAAAATTTGCGTCACAGCATGCCCATTTATGGCCTATTCGCTCGGTCGTGCCACGTCGCAGCTGCCCATCTTTCCTCAAGATATGAAGCTCCATCAGAGCAACGGTTCCACATTGACCAAGACGCGGGCTTTGTATATTATGACTTAAATTTCTCTTCGCGGGTATACATAGCATCGTAACTTTATAGTGGTAGATGGGCGATTTTTGATGAGGCAAATGTCGAATTGCAGTTAGAGTAAAGCCATTACCCCTGTATTTGAGGCGAGGTGGTGTAGTAAGTTTGAGGTGGAGGACTCGCGTGAGTATTATAGGTCAAACATTTGTCAATTCGTCGATTTTTGATATGCTTGAGGTTGCTTTAGACTTCAATTCGGATGCGATTCTTCTTGGCTATCCCAGATATGCAGAGCATACTTAGCGATTACACCGGCACCACTGGAAGGAGAAGAATTCTTCTTCGCCGGCCCTTTTTCTAGAATGTCTAGCCATAACATGAAACGGAATGGGGGGGGGAAGCTACTGACGGCTGCAAACGAACATAGATCTCTCGCGGGACGCCAAACATTGAAATGCTTGTGAAAGCCTAGATCGAGATTTCGGCTAATTAGCGAGGAGGGCTTCTTATGGCGATGAGTCAACGGCACTCCCCAGCGCCCAGGATGGCACAAAAGAATTTAGGCTAAGCTACCATACAGCAATCACGCTCTGTCAAGACTTTTCTGACATTTCAGCACGATCTTCGGGAAGGAATTGGAAGGAAGCTAGAAAGGCAGAGTGTGAACTTCCCGGGGTACCCACAAGTCTGCAGCGCCCAGCTGGCCGGCCTCTTCGAGCGCTTCAGATGGGTCACTAAGTCTTCGGATTTAGTCCTAATGTCGGTATTAGAAGAGCCCCGCACCCAGTGATTTTTTCAAAATTTCCCGGCTACCATAGACCCGCAAATGGCCATAGTTTCGTTGGCTGGAGAGGGGAGATAATGAAGGGCAAAGGGCTCCCCCAAGTGTATGGTCGAATGAGGACTTTTGAGGTGTGGTACTGTTTGAGGGGAGCTGTATGGGAAGCATAGGAGGGGGTATACGACTGGTATAGGTATCCTTGGCCTGTAGGCAGAGAGGACGTAAAAATAAAAATGAAGAATCTCAAAATTAAATATCCACCTCTGCAATGGTCATCCATGATCCAAGCTTAAATTATCCATCTATCCTTACAGCTCCTACGTCGTAATTTCAGACCTCCTGCAAGCATCTATCCTATCACAAACACACTTTTCGAGGCTAATGGAACCCAGATGTTAGGTTGGTCTAAAGTGTAATCTTTGAAAATCCGGTGGCCTTTGTCGTGTTTGGAGACACGTTGCATCTTTGGCAGGAAGTAGACCTTGTCAGGAGCGCGGTTTTGCAATGGTTCGAGTGTGCAGCTGTTGTCCTGGCCCAGTCAAATTGTCTAGAGATAGTGGGAAATAAGAGAGTCTTGGTGATAGGAGTAGGTGGAAAATGTTTGCCACTGCACAGACGCTGTTCATGTACTTGAGATTCTCTTCACCCGAGGACCTGAACAGGGCATTTGTCCAAATTATAATATACTTCACATCATCCATTAGATGATATTATTAATCGTAGGAACACGCATCAGACATCTCCTTCATAGATCACCATTGTTTGTACAAGTTAATGCCCACTGACACCCATTGGCCATAGTGATACGGACTCAGTGTCCATCGCGCAATCTCCCCTACTCACCAATGCACATGAACCCGTATCCTGCGGCTGAATGACAGCAGAGTCATTCAATTGCTTCCCACCTCTCATCTCACAACCACAACAGTAGCCTGTAGTTCCGTGTGCCGACTTTGCGATAGAATCCGGCTGAGTTCTGCACCAGATAGTTGTTCTTAGGCCACATTGGGGAAGGTGATTGCTGACTTGTGGCCAGTGTTAACTCATCTATCTAATACATGGTCTTTGGGCCCTTGATCAAGAGAATGGGTGGAAGGCTAAGCCATCTAAATTGTATTCGTTGCTATACTGAAGGTAGCCCTGTTAATTCAATGAACGAAAGTAATCAAAGATCCCAGAGAGAATTGTTCAGACTAGAAGGCTAGATATCTCAAGACAAGGTCTGTAATCACCACGAATGTTTCCCTCATAAGCCAGACTTCGTATTGTTCTCCTGTAATTACCGATGCATGCCGTAGGAGTATAACGGGCCAAGATTACATGAGTCGTGACGCTCCACTCAACGAAGCTGTTGGACAATGGGGTGATTAGGCAGATGTACTATTGCAGCTACTTTTACGCAGTATTATCATAGAGAGTAATATATACTGCTGAACTGCCGTGCACAAAAATGGTGTTCTGGAGCATCTGAATTTTCATACATATACACTTCAGTGTTGTCAGCTTCATCTTCCATCACCATCGTCGACCTTTCCTGAACAACTCTAGCATAATACACGACAACATGCGGCTCTTAAATCCGATCTTTCTGGTAGCCTATGTTCTGCCACTTGCTTGCGCCATGCCGGTTGTGGATAGAGAACGGACGTTCAGAGGTAATGGTGACATTTCCATAAAGGAGAGTAATATCTTGGCGGGCCTCAGAAGAATTTATATAACATACGGAAGACTTACTTCAATCATCGAAGATGACAACAACTTCACTGACTTCGTATTTCACGAAGGTGTAACAGTAAATCTGTTCCGTGGCACAAATTTTCGGGGAAATCCACCAGTAAAATATTTGTTCAAAACTATAATCCAACCAAATGAATGGCAAAGCAATCTTCGAGGTAAGAAACGCGGAAGACCTCCTTTTAACTCTGGGAAGCTAAATATTGATGCTAACTTGAAAAGGTCTTTATTGGGTCGTTGCAAGCTGCGAAAATAATATATGCACCCTTCGCGGTATTGTTCGTAAAGGTAACATCTCTATGGAATACACGGTATTTAATGAAGTGAATGAGGGCCTTCCTTCTCTATCTTATCCAGAATATTAGGAATCTCCTGTATTTCCTGCATAACAAGTGGTGTAATTGGCCAAATGAGAGATCTCAATGGTGAAGATGGCTCTAGTTCACGAGATGATTGATTTATAATTAGTAGTAATTATATGAAGTACAAAGACTTGGTGGTGGTGGTATTACTTATCGTCTAATGAGGGTCAGGTCACCATCCTTTGGGATATGGGACGAATGAAGAATATCTAGAATATGTGATTCTCCAAGCTACAGCGGTGCCAGACTTCTCCCAATACCTACGCTTGAGCCATCTAGTTACATGAAGTTAGATGGTGTCAAATTTGAGCGGCGGATTGGGAGTAGCAGTGAGTAATACTAGTCAATGAGAATAGGCAGTTGGAGTATGTGTGTGTGTGTTTATTGTACTACTTGAGGCTTAGACTATCTAGCATGTTGGGCTCCTCTCCGACCCAGGCCACACCTTGTACAATGCTCCTTGCCCCTTATGTTACTCGAGAGATCATTGATATATTGCCTTTGATGAATAGCCATTCAGCTCAGTATTTACCCATGAAATTCAGCCACATTTTCCACGGAACCTTCTACCCAAAAAAAATAAGAATGGTAGCAATGGAAACTGCGTGCGCAGGAAAATGGTCCAAAAAACCTGCAGCTCCAGCCAGGCGAGGCCTAGACACCAGGACCACATGAGGTGCGCATATTCATCTATATCTTCTTTCCTTGTAACATTCTAGGCCGACTTGATCCAATCCGCCATCTCCGATCGGGTGCTGGATAGGCTCCGGAAATTCGTCGGATGATTTTTCCTCCACAACCAAGGGTTGGTGACGAGAAGGGCTTCGACCTTACCATCCGATATGATCGTAATTAGCCTCATGATAATGGTGATAGGGGGTTGTGCTGAGGAATGAAGACGACAAAGACCGCGAAAGTGATCGGGAATCCTCATTGAAGTGAGGAAGGTGTTACTTAATCTTGGCTCTGCAGACTCTACAGTGAGAGCTGGAGGTTCGTAGGGGACACCACTGACAGGTGTTGAGAATAGTCATCCTTTTCTCGACAGTACTGACACTCGAAGATTTTTGGTTTGCAAGGGTGGAGTCTTATTTTTTTTTTAAATTGTTTAATGTGTATTCAGCTATCTAGCTATGACACATGACCGGCGCTATGTATACATGTGGTATGACTCTTTTGACGTTAGAGACACTCATACTCTGGATTTCATTCGCAAATACCACTGTGAGGCATGCTTGCTTACATACGCAGTCGACCTTCCTCCGTAAATACCCACCAAAGGGAATTTAAAAATCTTTGGTTATCGAAGCACGCCTTCGTCATCCATATATACCAGCGCCGCAAGAAATGTGGTTGTGTTTTGCCGGATTTGAACCAGCTTTCTCCTGTCTCGAGTTGGATATGTGTCCAAGCTATCCAGACCCGGTTGGATGGTGCAGTAGTACACCATCCGGGCCGATCTCCCAAGTAGATACTGGGTAGCTTGAACACCTACCCCATTCGAGACAGGAGAAAGCTGGTTCGGATCCAGTCAGACCCACACACCACACTCTCTCGCGGTGGTATTGTACTTGTGGGATGATGAAAGCACACTTGGATAGCGAAAGGTTTTTCACGCTTTTCCATATGGTGGGTATGCACGGAAGAGGTTGTACGCCGTAAGGGTTAACATCGAGTGGTATCTGCAAATGAAATTTGAGTGTGAGTGTTCTAAATGTCAAATTGAGTCATCCAACTAAAGTACATATCTTCTGATAAAAAACTGCATGGGACTCAAGGCGCCAAATCAGGTAAAATGAATTATATATATATATATATCCAAACTCTACTTTGCAGACCGGCCAAGACGATGTACCACCGCACCATCCGACCGTAGCGGTGTTTATAGTGTCACCTGCACTCTGGCAACCGATTTCATGGCACGCTTAAAGTTCAATTCGTAAAACTCTTGCCAAAATTCAAAATTCTATGCCCGTCGAGACTGTATCCATCCTCTGCATCATCTTGTCAACTTGTCCTGATACCTCTCACGTCTATCCCAAAGAGCTGTCTTCCGGATTTGTGCGCCACGCTTTGTGTTCTCTGTGGGGTATAAATATCGGCGTGGGCGTGTATTTGGTGGTCGAGGCCAGAGAAAGTCGACAAGAGGTGTGATCATTTGAATGAGGATGTACTAGGTCGTACTTGTAGACTTGATATGACTTAGGTTGGAGTAATTCCCTTTGGAAGGGAAAATTTAACGTGGTTGAGTAATTCGTATTGTTGCCTTGTGGGCCAACTTTTTGTGTGTTGCAAAAATTGACTGAACTTGGCTTTGGGAGAATATTTCACTCCCAGGTTCGTAGAGGACACCGCGTACAGGTGTTCAGCTTTCGTCCTACAGGGGTGGAATCATTTGAGACAATTTAAGGGTGTGAATGCTGAGAGCTTACTAGAGGCAGGAAGTCTACACTTCTTGTAGTAGGAAAGTTGAGGCCTAGACCACCACCACTTCAGTATTTTTAAGGCGTTAAACATTGAAGTTTTGCTATAGTTAGCCCGTATAAAGAGTCTTCACAGAAAGAGGCATGAGGGGTGGTGAAGACATTGTTTGTCCATTTTTTCTGGAGAGTTTTGTCTGGGGCAGCTACAAGAAAAATTTTGGTAGTCTTTGTTTGGAAACCATTATATCATTCTACCGCCGCGTGTGGATCATAATTGCCACCTTTTTCCTGCTTATTGTTGGCACAGGCTGAATCTGCTAGCAGATAGATAATGGTTGGTCACATTTTAGGGGTTTCGATTGATCACAATCAAAACAGGGTGGTGACAAATATAACTCGTAGCTCTACTACAGCTAGTTGCGCAGAATGCAATAGTTAAGCTTGAGTTCTAATAAATTTGTCTATGTCTCCTCCTAACTCCCGACTCCGAAACCTACACTTTGTGCGTAGCTTACTAATTTTAGGCTAACCGCATTTAGTAGTCTATGTTACATTACGTAACCTGCTACGTTTAGGATCCACAACTTTGTTCTTTATTCTCTATCTAAGCTATCTCTTAGAATAAGATTCTTGTATGAGAGTGGTACATAAGTACTAGAAGTGGAATTGATAAAGTATTGAGTTAAACTATTGTGTATGATTCTCGCAATCACCGCATCTTTCAGTGCTGCGACCATACTCCTATTAATATGTGTCTGCCAGCCTCGTTGTTGTGATAGGTCTATGATTTGGGTGTACATACAATTTGTGGGAGCTCGCTGCTAGTGATCACAGATGGGCTGTTGGGCCGGACAGGTCAAGAAGTGGAGCAGAGAATAATCTCAGTGGAATGAGGAAAGACTGAATTGCTTGTTCTATCTAATGTGGAGGAAAGCTCTCTACTTATAGTCCCTAGACTATTGCTTACTAATGATACTAACTCAATAAAGCAGGAGCAAACAGAGCAAATGCATGCAGTCGCGTGACCATCATAACTTGAGCTGTGCACTGTAGCTATATAGGTCCAGGCACAACAGTGTTCAATTGGGGAAAGGTCTATTGGTTCAGATGTGATAATTCGACGAAGAATTTGCTGAGGCTTTAGTAGAGCCTGTTGTTGGTGCTTGCTTCGCTCGTCATTTGCGTCCGATGGCTTATCCTCACTTATTCTGGTCAGGGCGTCGGGCTTTCCGCCTTGTTTACCGGGTCTTAAGACTATTTTAAAGTTGAAATCTGCAAGCAATTCGTTCCATCTAGCTTGGCGTCGATTGAGTTTCTTAGTGGTGGTAAAATACTCGAGATTCTTATGGTCAGACAAGATAACTGTGGGGTTCTCAACAGAGCCAAGCTCACTTTTCCATGTCTCGAACGCATTTACAATAGCAAGCAATTCTTTATCGAAAATCTCATAGTTGCGCTCAGCTGGTAGCATCTTTTTCGACATAAACGCCACTGGACGTAAGGTATTCTCACCATCGTACTGCGATAAAATAGCCGCAGTAACATAATCTGAAGCGTCAGTTTCCAGCACAGTTTTTCTACGAGGGTCAAAATGGGCAAGCATGGTTCCGTCTTTAAAGGCTCGCTTGATCTTACTGAAAGATTCTTCACACACACAATCCCAGGTAAATTTAACATCCTTATTAGTTAAATGGGTCATAGGAGTGGCCAACTGTGAGAATTCAGGGATAAAGCGACAATAAAAGTTTGCAAACCCTAAAAACCCTTGGATATCTCTAACAGAACGGAGTGTTGGCCATTCCTGGACGCAGGCTACCTTTTTAGGGTCCATGGAGATTCCTTTAGTTGAGACTATGAGGCCGAGATAAGTTACACTAGCTGTTTCGAAGGAGCATTTAGAAACATCAACTTGCAAGCCGTGTTTGCGAAGTCGCTGTAAGACTACTTTTACATGCCTTTGATGGTCCACAAGGTTTTCTGAGTAAATCAGTATGTCTTCCATGTAAGCAGTACAGAAATTGTCGAGGAGGCCCCGAAGAGCGTAGTTAATATAAGTTTGAAACAAAGCAGATCCATTACATAGACCGAAAGGAAGAACTAAGGGTTCGAAGAGTCCATATCGGCAAGTGAAGGCTGCCTTCCATTCATCACCCTCTTTGATGCGGAGCTTATTAAAAGCAGAGATAATGTCAAGTTTGGTGTAGAGCTTGGCACGAGAGAGTTGACACAGGGTTTCTGTTATTAATGGAAGAGAGCACCGATTTCTGATGGAGATTGCGTTAAGTCCTCTATAGTCAATACAGAAACGGAGATCTCCATTTGATTTCTTAACAAATAGGACTGGAGCAGCTGCTGATGACTTTGAAATCCTAATAAATCCCTTGGAAAGTTCTTTGTCCAAATACTCCCGCAGAGCCTCCAGCTCCTTTTGATTCATTGCATAGGGACGAGCGATTGGAGGCTGCTTTCCGGGCTGTAGATCAATCGAATGATCCCAGGGGCGATGTGGAGGCAGGAGATTGGCCTGTTTTCGATCAAATACATCGAGGAAGTCATGATAATGAGAAGGGAGGTATTTCT